AACTCGAAGAAACTTCTCACAACAGAAAGTGTTCAAAACCCTTTACCCTCCCCCCACCCCTCTCCCTCCCTATCAATCCCGATCCGTGCGGAGTCGTTAATTTATTGTATATTATTTCACTGCGACATGTTTTATTTATGAGCTTTTGGACTTGAGCCAATAAATTGTTGTTGTTGTTATCACTCCGATCGGTATCTAATTTTGATAAATGCGCAGCGAGGGATGCTCTCGGCGAAGGGTAATCGATTCGCCACGAGGGAAACGGCGAGGCAGTTCGCGCCGATTTTCACGAATTCGCCCGCTAATCTCGCAAATCGAGCACAGGGACCGAGCTCCTGACTAATGCGGGCGCATACGTTCGGCAAAACCGCAGCCGTCTACCGCGCTCAAGTATCGCTACGCTATGTGCTTTCCGTGTGCTGCCGCTTCCAGTGTGATTAATAGACCCGATATAATTCGTCCTCCTCTCTGTTTCATCAAGGTAAGCATCAGGTGGTATTTAACTCGTCGAACGAACCGACGCGAAGGTGAAAGGAGACCTTCGGAATTCAAGAAACGAGGAAACCGCGCGATGGTATGGATACCCCTGCTACCGATCACGTTGAACGGAACGATTCGTTCGTTTGACGTTAGAACCGACCGTTTCACGTCTCGAGGCACAATACCGAGTAAGCGAAGCTTTTGAACGTCACATACGGAGCTATCTCGCGCACGTGTTACCCATGCATTATTGATACACCACCGCCGTATATGTAACGACCCTCCGCGGCCTTGTTTCCTCTTATCTCGCCGAACATCGAAACAGAAATTGGCCTTCCTGCTCGAGTTTCTTGAGATTATTCAGCGACCTTACGCTCGTTACCTTGAGCATCATCTCTCGTCGAATACAAGGCCCAATTAGAATCCGAACGCGAGAAGTGGCGCGAGTCGAACGAAGGCTGGACTCTCATCCCACCAGTTCTCCCATACGTACGTATTATATTCACGGGTACAGATCCACTGAGCTATCTCGCGCACGTGCGAGTATGTACATGGACGATTATCGTACTTCGACGACAAATTAAGTTTTTTCTAAGGACGTTTTAGTTGTAATTATCGTGAGACTGTGATATAACGACAGCCGATTGTATAATTTGTTTTACATTGAAAAGGGACGTCGTACGCCATTGACAACAAGGAGATAATAAAGATGAAGTTGACAACTAATTAAATTCCTGATATATTCCTAACTTTCATACCCTCCCTGAATATACCGCGACTCTTTCTCTGTTTACACGTAATTGTAGTTATGCGTAAGTGCGAGTCCGCACGCAGCACGTTTATGAACAAGTGTACGATATATCGTCGCCAGTCATCGGTTATTTTCAGTTGCTCGCGTAAAAAAGCTACTGCGTTTGTTAATTCTTCCGCGGCATAATGGCATCGATTCATAAACCGCGTTTCAATAAAGCGATTATAATTCATTTTTTACGAATCCGTCAGTCGATTCGCTGTTTAATCAGCTCGTTTCGATAGAACTGACGTCAAAGATGAAATAACACACAATAAACGAAAATTTTCTATTCTATCGACGCGACGAAGGATTATATTTGATTTTGTGTCATGTTCTTATTGACAGTATTGTGTGAACGTTATGTTGATAAAAGTATTATTCCTTTTTAACGTCAGTGCTACACTAATTGGTTAGTATAAAATAAAGTACTGTGATTTGGCACTTACCTGAATGGAAGAATACCGTCGAGAGCCTGGGAGACCGTTGGAGGTGAAGCTAGAGCGAATCCTCGTCCAAGTAACGTCGAGTGTACGGAAAAAATCCTCTTTGCAGTTTCTTGCATCAGCTCCAAATCTTCTTCCACTTCTTCGTCTAAAAAGGTACAGTTTTTTTTGTCAGAATTCATCGAGTAACAAAACAATTGCCAAATACAAATAAATGTTTCAAGCTACGTATATATGATACAGACAAGCATTAATTTTGGATTAGAAGAAAAGAGATATTATTCAAATTACGTAAGTACTAGCAAGTAACACGTACTAGATACAGGCGGTAACGCGAGATTTCTCTTCATAAGACTTGCGGCACAGGCTCCACCAAGGAATGACAATTCAATTTCCAGATTTCTTAAACCATTCCCCGCTGTCATCCAATCGTATCCAATAACCAGACATTTAAATCCGTATGTAATTGCTCTGTCGTTTCTCATGTAATCGGAAGCGGTCTCTAACGAAAACATAACTTCATTTCCTAAACAAATAAATAAAATCAATTAATACCGCGAGTCAACAGGCAATTGAAATTATTCCGTAAAGTAACGACTCACCTGGCAATACGATCGCGTTTTGAGGCCATTGACTTGGTACATTGCTCAATTTACGCAATACAGGCCACCGTAAGGGCGCATCTTCAAGGGTGCGTATTCTAAAAATATATCAGAAAACATGATATATGTCACGCGGTTGTTTCTCGCTGTAAAACGTTTGCGCAATACGAATTAATTATACCTACCCTGTAAGAGGAGAGATTACACTTGGAATGTACAATTGTAAATAATCCTCTGGCTGAGCTGTGCCACATTCTGGTGTGAATTCAATGGATAACCATTTGACAGTCTCTGGGAAAGTGACTCTATAATGGGATACTGTAGCAGGTTTATAAGGATGATCGCTTTCCAACCAGGTGTAATGATGACTGGTAGTAGTAGGTGTAGAAACGTGAGATTGAAGTTCACTGTCTTGAGATACTTCAGACGATCCCATTGTGGATAATAAATTAAGTGCCGCAACATGGGGTAATGTTTCTTGAATTAAAGTAAGAATTTGCACCCCGCTCTACAAAAAAAAGGAGAAAAATAATTTATTTTTTGCCGGAACAGAAAATAATATATTAATGATCGTAAAATATATAAGATTATTGATCTTTACTCTGGGATCTGATGTAGCTAAAGGACTGATATGCGCCATAACCAATGGTAAAAGAGTCGTTACAAACGGCGCATTTCCAAGAACTTCGGTAGTTACCACTTCTTCTGCTTTTTCTCTAGCTAATGCGAAAATTTCGTTCGATCTTTGAATAATCGTAGTTGTCATTGCAAGAGCACACTTTTTTGCTTGCACCTCAGCCATCGCTTTACTTGTATGCTGGCCATCAGAGTCTTGGGGATTTGAATAATAGAGAATGTGTGGTATTTGACCTCTTGTCTGAGTCGTACCTGCGAAAATAATATATACATATATATAATCATTGTTGTTTAAACAAAATAATGTTTTCTATATAATTAAAGCTTACGCACCATTAAAGCTTAAAGAGCAAGCTGTGAAAGTAAATGTAGTTCCGTCAGGTCCTTTAACGACGCTTAAACCACCATCGCCATTACTTGTGCGTCCTCCACGATTCCTCAGTCTAATAGCGTACTTTATATTTTCCTTAATGGGCACAGGTTTATCAAATTTTAATTCTACTATGTCGTTAACGCAATCATCTGGCCCGAAAGAGCCTCGTGTAAAATCCAAACTACTCCAACGTTGAGTGTGAGATGGATCGTTGCCCGTGTTATTTTGCTACAAAATGTACAATACAATTGTGTTTACGACAATGAAACGATTACTTTCATGCAAAAATTTAAAATAAATACTCACATCGTCGAGTAATTCTAACTCATAGTCATACATTCCAACACCTCCATAAATACCCACACCAGCTATCACAATACCAGATCTATCGACTGAAAAACAAATTGCGTCTGGGGAGCCATTACCGGTATTCCATGATCTTGTTTGATTTACTCGAGTAAATCTCGAAGGTGTAGTATACATAAGTCTGCCACAGGCGGCTTGAAGTTCATCCTCATTTCCACTAGATTGTGCCGCTAATTCAGCAATCACACGCGCTAACAAATAAGAACAATAAAGTACCAATTCCAACCGTGACTGAGTCTTTTTTCTACAAAGACTTTTCTTCACAGGGACTAGAATCAAATCTAACAGTCTTTCAAGCACGTCACGAAACGACCAGTTTAAAATTTCTTTGCCAGAACTTTCCACCTGAGATTTGTAACTAATTTGTTCCACTAAAATTGGATACTGATGACTTTCTGATGAATTTATCATCAATAAGCCCGTATTATCGGATGGACTAAGTTGCTGTTTTATGCTATCAGTACTATCCATGATGTTATTTAGAATTGGAAATGTACATCGAAGACGAATAGTAGGACAGCACAGAGCAGCTAGAACAGCCGATAACAATCGATCTTTCGTAGATTCTCCTTGTTCCTGTAAAATACCACAGTTGTTTTATAAAAATCTTCCAGCCAATAAAATTATGAGATACATACCCTGTCGATTTCTGACAGCAGCTCGCATAGACATGTCCATTTCAAATACGCTGTCGGATAAAATGCGTGATAACAAGCTACAAATGTTTTGTGACATTCATCTAATATGCTATTTGTCGCCTTACTGTTTACGGCGTTGGGACCTACAGAGATTATTATATTATAAAGATGAAAAGCAAATATTTAAAATAAGGATATTGCAAGCAAACTTACTTTTGGTTGATCGTGTTTTGCCTTTGCTTTTCGTATTTAATGGTACAGTATCCGATAAAATTTGATGTAATAATGCACGTACTTCACCGATGCATTCTGCTAACCGTACTGATTCAGAGGGTGTTTTCTTTCCCACTACAAATCATTGATATTATTTAAATATAATCTTTAATACAATTATTATTTAAACACAATATTTAATACAATTTAATATTTGATGTACAATACGCTACATACCTTGATTAGGATAAATTTCATTAGTATAGATCCTAAGTAGTCGTAAACTAGCTCTACTAATATAAATTAAACGCTCCACTTCAAATATTGCCTGAGTAGAAGTAGTATCATTTAACGTTGCTTTTAATGTATTCCAACTCCATTGAAGGAGAGATATTAATGATTGGAAACATTCCTAAAAGAAAAAAATTTTTTTTTATATTATTTTACATTTTATACGTAAGAAGTAAATACGTACTTTAGTGACTGTTCTGCTGAATTCTCTTTTTAAGACATAGACTGGTTCAATTCGATCTCTTTGCCTATTAGAAGTTTGATTTTCAGGTGTAACAATTCGATATAGTAATTGTGGTATTTGTCCGGCATTTACATCGGACCCATTATTGGATCTCTTCGAAGATTTAAAATAAAACATAACTCTAATAAAAAAAAAAGAAAAACAATTAGTATATCATAAATCATAATACATTTTTTAGTAAAAAAAATTGATTTTACTAACTGGTCTTCTGCAGTGACCATTCCTTGACCACCAGAACCACAGTCGCTAGAAGGCCCACTGATTTTAGCCCATGCAACATACCACCTATTTGCTTGCAAAGGAATTGGTTCATAAAATAAAATAGAATATTTTTGTCTCGGTCCACATTCGTATGGTATTTCTTCAGATTCTGCTAAAAGTTCGCCATCATTTTCTTGATCTCCTCCATCCATTCCAATATCAAAGAGCTGAAGTGTTATTTAATATAATTCTTAATATAATATCACATAATTCATGATATGTATAATGAATGATACTCACTTTTATTTTTGCCGTGTATTCTCCCCGACCTCCAAATAATCCATATCCTCCTAATAAAATATCAGTGTCGGGCATAAATCTAATAGCCTCGATAGAATGTGCGGAATATCCCCAACCACCACCATGACCTAAAAATATACAGAATATACAGAATATATGGTACAAAAATATTTGAAAATTATTTTTATTAATCTTTTTTATACGCACTTTCAAACCTGTTGACTGTAACAAAATCTTCACGACTATACACTTTCCCGTGTGTTGATTGATTACATTCATTCTCTTCTATTACAGTCAAATTTTCATTTTGTGCTTGTGCAAGAGTATCCAGACAACCCAATAAATGCATTGCAGCTTGAGAACGTGTTACAAAACAATTTGATACTGCTGGTATTGTTAAACCTGGACTCAAAATGGATGCTTCCAATCCAGGAATTATTCTAGCTTCCGTTGATATAATATTATACAAACTTATTTCACTATTCGTAGGGTTAAAAGTCCAAATTACATTATACAAAGGATCTAAACATGTCGCACAATTACTGAAATCAACTTGATCTGGTCCACTATAACTGTTACAAGTACCATCTCTTTTACTTATAACTAAACATTTGAAAGAATTTGCGTGATCAGTTTGATGTGGAATTAAAACTGAAACAAGTTTTTTTTTATATAATTAAATGTGTTTGGTAATATGATAATGGTGGAAGTATAATTTACAAAAGAGGACATACTTATGCAACTTTTATTTGCCATAACTGTACTTCTTGTTAAACTAATAGAATTTATTTCATCAATTTTGATATAAGTTTGATCTCCACTTGCACCAATCCATGTTGCTCTTCTACCCCACTGTGGACCAATATTTGGAACTACATTTGGATAACTATGCCGGGGCTGTGTTCTGTCAGAACGACGACTAACTTGCGGAGAATTTGAGAGTTCATTTTGTCCATTCCACCAATTTATACCCAATTGTCCTTTCTGTATATAAAATATGTATGTATCAAAATGTTTTTTTTCCTTTGGTTATAATAGATAATAGAATTTGATTACAAACTTGATAAACTCCAAATGTAAACACTTCCCCCTTTGATGTAAGTACGACAGTATGATTGCTTCCAGCAGCAACTTGTGTTACAATCCCTGGTAATTTAACGTGAATTGGTCCAGCATGTGCTACCAAATCTCCTACACCTAACTGACCATATACGTTGCTACCGAATGTATAAACTTCCCCATTTTGTAAAAGTACCACTGCATATAACACAATATAATTATATAACATATATAATTGTTAAACTTTTATACATTATATTATACATTATATTATACATTATATAATTGTTAAACTTCATCCTATAAACTTACTGAAAGAATATAAAATATATTTTTAAGTATTACCTGTATGATGCAAACCACATGATACTTGAACCACAGGACTTTCACTAGGTATAGGAACTCTAGCCGGTGGTATACTAGCAATTCTTGCAGCATCGCCTCGTTCAATATCACTTCCACCAATACCTTCCTCACTTATTAAATTAGTACCTAATCCTAATGCCATTTTTCCAGCAATTTTTTGTATCACACTTGGCCCAGCTATTTTATATAAAATTTATTGTTATATTAATTGTTACAATTTAACTTAATTTTAAAATATATTCAATATATCTGTTTTATATAGACATCTACCCAATCTTTGATTATTCGGACCTTTCATCTTCATTCCATATTTCGCAGTACTCGGACCTGCCTTCGTTCTCTGTTTTTGCTTTATTTCCCCCAGACATCTCTGTAAATACTCTCGAAAATTTGAACTTGATCTACCTAAAATCCGACATGAATAGTTTACAGAAATATTTAATTAACATTAATTTATTAATTTGAAATTCAAGATTTTACCATTAGCACAACTTTTCCTTGCGCAAGTACGACAACATCCACATTCCGCACATCCACTATCCCCTTCACCACATCCACATTCCCTAAAAATACAAACTTTAATTTCTTGTACTATGCATGTGATTTGATATACATACTGGCCTGGATTTCGATCTGGACGTATACTGCTTAAGCACGATATACTGTAGCCAGTGCATTCTCGGCATACCGTGCAAACCATGCAAACACGATGCCTCCATTGATGTAAACCTGGTGGACACATTCCTCTTGTTTCTTCCCAATCTTCAGTAGATTCCATACCATCTAAATATTATATAAATATTAACTTTTTTTTTATTAAAGAAGTTAAAATTATATCATGTATAATTACCCTCTTCAGTTACTAAAAATTCTTCCTCTGTTGTACCTATTTCTACAGCAACCGAAGAGACATCTTTATTTATAGAATTATGAATTGTATTAAAATCTCTACCACATTGTCCTTTATTGTTAATTCCAAATGTGTATAAATATCCTTTGTTAGTTAATGCTGCAGCATGAGCTTTGCCTAACGAAACGTGAACAACACAAACGTCTCTGAGATCAGTAACTATTCCCGAAACCGGATCACTATGCAAAGTATCTTTGCCAAACATCAGTAAAGAACCTTCCTTTGTAACTAATGCTGTTGATCCATTATTACAAGCAGCATTCACAATAAACTGTCCTTCTACTTTTGCTATCTTTTTTGGTTTAACTGGCTTAGGTTGTCGCCTAACTTTATCTAAAAATAAAATATATATATAAAGACATAGTACATATATTATATGTGTAAACACATTATAAAGTTTACATTAATTAAAAATATATTTACTATTATCACCATCTTCTCCGCGTCTCGCAGTACCAGCAAATAAAACTGAACCATCTTCCATAACCATTACAGCATGTTGACCATCATGACCAGCTGCAAAATTTACAAGTCTTGGTCCTTTCCCAAGTGTTAGCTCTATCCATCTATTAGGCCTTGTGTTATTTTTCATACCAAGAGAAGTTCCTTTTCCACTGTACAGAACCTTCAAGAATACGATATGTATATTTCACATTTCTATATAATTTTTGAGGAAAAAACAGTATATTGCTTACTTTTCCAGATACAGTTTTTAATAATGCAAATTCTTTTCCTGCAGTAACTGTAGCTATTTCATCATCACAGCCTGGATTTAATGTATGAGTTGTTTGTTCTTCATCAAAAGAAGCATATCCAAAAACATCTACACATTTTCTTGCTAATTTTAACGGTAATTCTGATGCGACTGTTACTGGATTACTTAATGTATTTATTGTTCTGACTACAAAACCATCCTGTTAAAATTAATGACATAAAATTTATATATATATTTTTTTTTAAAGTAATATAAATTTTTTAACTAGATCGAAAACAAAAACTAACGTCTTTTCCAGCAGTTATCATTCCTAAGCATTCACCATCAGAAAACATAACAGAGGATGACCAATCACGACCTTCTAAAACAGCAATCTCCGTAACTGAAAGGGTTTCTGCATCAATAATTAGTAACTCGCTCTGTTTTCTCGGTGTATATTTAAAGTACAACGTGTTCTAAAAAAAGTTAATTGTTAGATGTTAATATACATATAGTTGCACGTTACAAAATTAGTACTTAATTAAACTAACATTTGCATAACCAAGCCAACCCGTTTCTGTTGGATAAAAGTCCGTCTTATGAACATACACATGACCCCAAATAGTTCCTCCATGTCCATTACCAATCTTCAATAATCCTCTACTTGTATGCAGATACAGGTACTTTCCATCACTCACAAAACTTCGTCCATTGAGTATTATATTATTTATCTCATTTGGTAACATAAGCGTAGAAGTATAAATCTTAGCACATTTAGGAACTCCATATGTAATCCAGTCTGGCCGTGCAAGTTTTCCAAGTAAAACAGCTTGTACACTTCTTTGTAAGGATGTTAATACACATGGCATCTGTAACATGTAAATTGCAATCTGCAGTCTTAGAAAAGTATGCTGTAATACTATGAATTTGGAGAAGAATTTACTTGAATATTTTGAACCGCTAATGCTCTTGGACACATGAGTAAAGCCGCTATTGCTGCCAATAAACGACCAGTATCGCCTCTAACAACCACAAGACTTAATAAACATGCACAAGCAACTGCAGTCAAATGACTGCCATCATTAGCAGCTGCTGATTCTGGGCCATGTGAAGTTGCAAGATCCAATAATAGGTCAAAAAGTGGATCTATGAAAAAAATAAAAAAATAAAAATGTTTTAATATTGACCATAAAACAATAAATATTTATATGCATATATTAATTTTTATGCATTACCAATAACATCATCTGGTTCAGATTTCAGGCCTTCAGGAAGTTGTCCTTGTAACACATCCAATAAAGCTGACAATGTTTTTGTACACAAAGCAGGTTCAATTGTTCTACTCTCTCTCATTAATGTAAAAACACTTCGTAAACCAATACCTACAATCTAAATATATTTAACCTTGTATGTAATTCTTTCAATGTACATAATGTATAATTTTGAAGATTACCTTTGGTAAGCTCTGTATAGTTGATATTCTGTCTTCATCATCACTCTCCGTATCAATAGTTTCACTATGTTCTGGTGATGGTGGAGAATTACAATTTGATGCTCTATAAACTTCAGTTGATTTAATATACCTCTCCAAAATAACATTTCTAACACTAGCAAATACAGCAAATGCAGAAGCATTGCAAGATATTTGTATTTCTGGTGGATTATTGTAATTTACATCACTGCTTAAGTCAATCTGTGAATATTGAAGATACAGAATAATTCAAGTTAATTAATTCAAAGAAAAAAAATACAAACACAAAAAAGAATTAATACCTTTTTTTTATCCCTCTTACGTACAGATTTATTTTTTTTACATTTTCTCCATTCTTCCTTATTTCTAAAAAATAAAATGTTTCATAAATATAATATAGAACATAAAATATCTTATAGACAACACTATTATTAACAACTTTTTATGACTAACATATTGGCATTTATAAAGGAAAGTATAAAAACAAACATATAAAAAAAATGTATCTTTATTTCTTTTAACAGACAATTATAACTGTATGTATCCACAGATTATCGTGTAGATCAAATAAATAATTAACAATGACCAAATAATTCAAAATATTCTAAATTAATTTATAAATTAAGTTTCTACTTCGTCTAAAAAGTATCAAAATGACAACCTAACATATAACATTAATAAACAAACAATTTTAGGTTACTTTACGTATCTACGAAAATCATAATGTAATTTCATAATAGGGTAACATAGAATTACATATTTAGGAAAAATAATAATAGAATTATCAGAATTTCTGTCGGAATTATTGAGTTTGATAAATGACATATGAAGTCACCGCCAAAAGCGTCAAGTAAACAAAGCTGTAAGGAGGTTATATGCATTTCGCACCTCTGTGCTTCAGCAATACTTCTAAAAAGGTCATAAAAGCATTTCACGTAATTCTCCGGCTCGGGTAGCAACCTTTCGTGATCTCCGGACACCATGTTGTACACAAAATTTTCAACGTACGAATCACCAATTCATTTTCGTAATACTATTGATCGTTGACATTCCCTCGCCTTCCCCATGTGATCGCATCACACTATTTATAAAAAGGGGCATTCGACGATTTCTATCAAAGTATTTATTTATTGATATGTGATTTTAAATTCACATATACCAAATAATCTAACGATGTATTATTTTTGCAATATTCGAAAACAGCTAAAGATCCGCTTCTGCTGTATGTTAAGAAATTCGTCTTGAAAGTACCAGACGGACCGCGACTATTTTGCGATTTCGATTGTTCGATATATGATATCATTTTAATGCAGATTACCATTCGATATGGCGCTTATTCCTCAAATGAACTTTTACAACTGTAAATTCTACAAATAGAATTCATTGGCCGAATTCTGCGTATGTTAAGATATTTATGAGTTTATACATACTTAATACAACTTTATTATATATGCATATAAAGTAATGTCTTTAAACATCAGTTCCGAAACGAAACATCCTTACAACTTCATATTTATTATATATGTGAATTCGAAATATAAAAAATAATATCACTAAAAGATAATTCTTTTTACAATAATATTTTTCTCTTTTGTTTTATAAAGAATAGAATTTTTAAGATTACGTGATAAGTTACATCTGATTTCATTATTAGAAGATAAAATATACTCTTATACATGAAAAATTTATGTGTTAATTGTTTTCGTCCGTATTTACGATATATTATAACTCCTTAACCATTTATAAACTCCTTGTATTATTGGGTTGAAAGATTAATTATAAATGTTACATTCAAAATTTATGTTTTATAGAATTGTATTTTATTAACGAGAACATTCGGCAATATATTTCTTGCAACGTAACAAAATAATATATTGATAAACGTTTTATCGCTTGAAAATTTAATTAAGTAAATGTTAAAAAGATATGATGACGTAAAAGGCTTATCTCATACATGATTTAGAATTGATCACCTCACGTAAAGTGTAGTATAGTGTGCATATCCTGTTATGCTGAGATTACTGTTTTGAAGATTATCGTGAACATAACCTAAGGAACACGATTCAAAGTGCAATTACACTTAAGTTTTATTTTATTGCAAAAGAAACGAAATGAATGTGATTTTAATAAATTATTTAGTGAAATAGATAATTTATGAAAAAATTTATCACAAATTGAATAACAAAAAGCTGTTTAAAAATTGCATAGCTTTTTTCTATTCCGATAACAACATAACCAAATGACAGCTCTCAAGCACGTATGTAATATTTACACATACAATTCGATAAGTTGTTTAAAATGTTGTCATTAAAGTTTTTTTTATTTATAGGTAGACTATCTCAATAAATATATAATTATAATTGTAAGCTGATTTTTACTTATTACGTATCTCGATTGAAATTGCATTTATCTATGTATCTAGAAAAAATGACAAGAAAAGTCTATAAGAGTATGAACAAACATTTTAGTTAATTGTAATGAAGCAACGTGATTCTTGTGATATATTTTTAGTATGTATCATAGCAAAGCCTTGTATTTTGAATTTAATCTTCATAGATTTATAGACATATGTTATAAGTATTGTTATTTTCAAGAAAAAATATTGCTTTTAGTTACACTGGATATATCAGTTAATGATACACATGTCACTTGATTGTGTAAATATTACTTAGAAAATACATGTGATAGAATATCTTTAAAAGTATCATTATAATCGTGTGGGAATGGGCAATTGCTTGTGCAAAGATACACCAGAAGAACTTGAAGTATATAATGGACAGAATCATGCAGAGACTGAAAATACCATATTACCAGAATCAAGTGTAGGCACAGTTGCATCTGGTGATATGAGCACTACAACTTTTAAATTTCCAACTTCAGCAAACATTGATAAATTAGTACTTGAAACTCTTGGAGTAATTGGTTCTCTTGTTGATAAGTAAGTATTCAAATCATACAAATCTTAAGTTACTTGTAATGTAATTGCATAATTATATATACACTTTATAAATATAGGACTTATTAGATTTATTAATTAATTATTTTTATGCACATCTAGTGAACAAGAACCACCACCTGCAATGTTAAAATTACACGCTATTGCTGATAAAGAAGATGGATGGATACAAGTTGTGAGTTCTATGGTTAATGTCATTCCTATGCATAATCCATTAGGTCCTTCAGTTATCACACTTTTATTGGATGATTGTCCATTACCATCAAAGGTATAATTCTATTATTATATATTGCTTATTATATGATGATAATTGTAATTTATACTATAGATATTTTAATTTCTTAGGAATTAGTTCTGCGGTTATCACACATGTTTCAATTATCTCAGAAACTTGGAAATGTACAGACTAGTGCAACTCAACAACGTAACATCTGTGTGGTATTGGGTTGTATAGCAGAAAAGTTGGCTGGCCCAAGTAGCATTGCTATATTATCCGATGAAACATTGGATTATCTTATTTCAAACCTTGTAAGTATAATTATATACATATGATTATAGATGCAAAATTTGTTTAAAAAAATTTGATTTATAATTTGTATGTTATTTCAGAAGGAAGATATTGATCCTTATGTGGTATTATATTCATTAATAGCTTTGGAAAAATTTGCCCAAACGAGTGAGTATTAATTGTAGTAATTTCTATAAATAACAATCTTTTTATTAATTTATATTTTAAAAAGTGTAATATTGTTACCTAATCAGGTGAGAATAAAATAACTATAAAGAAACGTTTAACGGCAGAGAAGCCAAATCCTTTATTAGAATTAGAAAAATGGGCAACGGAAAATCATTATGTACGCCGGCAAGTAGGTTTTTGTGCGCGATGGTGTTTAGATAATTTACGTAAGTATTGAAGAATTTTATTATACATGATACACATGATGGGCAATGGAGATTATACAATAGAAAATATAGATATAAAATATGTATATAATATTAATTATTTTAAAATTTTATATACATACATACATATATATATATATATTCATTGTCTAGTTCTAATGGAAGGTAGAAAGTATTCCCATGATTCAGTTGATATGACTGGTATTAATGTAATGTTAAACACAAAGGATGTAAGCGAGTACCTGAAAATATCACCTAATGGTTTGGAAGTAAGTTTTAGAAGAAATAATATAATATATTATTTATATATGATAAGACTTCTTATTATTTTTATTGCATTTGCAGGCTCGATGTGATGCATATTCATTTGAAAGTGTAAGATGTACATTTCAAGTAGACTCAGGAATCTGGTATTATGAAACACTTGTTATAACTACAGGCGTAATGCAAATTGGATGGGCTACAAAAGACAGCACGTTTTTGAATCACGTAAATTTTAACATTCGTAACATAAACGATATATAAATAATATATAAATTATTTTTGCGTATTTTATTTTATTATTGCAGGAAGGGTATGGTATTGGTGATGATGAATATTCTTTGGCCTATGATGGTTGTCGACGATTAATTTGGTATAATGCAAAAAGTGAAAAATACCATGATAGACCATGTTGGAAAGCTGGTGATATTTTGGGTTGTTTACTAGATTTGAATAAGCTAGAAATAATATTCTCTATAAATGGTGTACCACTAAAACCATGTGTTCAGGTTTTCAAAACAGTAAGGTACATACATATTTATTTATACTTTACTATGTTTAAATAAAACTTATTAATTAATGCTAAATATTCTAGGTCTGGATTTTTCGCAGCAGCCAGTTTTATGTCATTCCAACAATGTCTTTTTAATTTTGGGAATGTACCTTTTAAATATCCTCCTACCGATCGCGAATATCAGAAATTTAATGATTATGCTACTTTAAAGCCTGAGGATAAAGTTGTGCTTCCTAGACACATATATCTAGATCAGTTGAGGAAACTTAGTGTCAGAGAGGACTCATGTACATTGTGTTTTGACCAAAGAGCTTCAGTAAGATTGCTCCCATGCAATCACAGGTATTGTATATAAATTAATTCAATGTACTGTTTTCTTTTACATTGTAATTATAATATAATTCTTAATATAAAATATATAAATTTTTCATTCATATTTCAGAGGATTCTGCCAAACGTGTTCGAATCAGCTAGTAGAATGTCCAATGTGCAGAGCTACAATCGAAGAAATAGCTACTGATAACACATGACACCACACGAGCGTATTGACAGTTTTTAATACTCTTCCACTATCTTTCCCATATTATATAATTCTCAGGAATTATTGCGAGGTAATCACAATCACAACACACCATGTGTATCACATACTGAATATGGTTATAATATTTTATACATTTCTCTTCTTACAATACAGTATTTTAAATCAAGAGAAGGACTATAAATCAATCACAGAAAGCAAAATTGCATTTAAACGTATCACACCTTTAAGATATATCATTCTGAATGTTGCATTCACATGTATAGATATAACATACAAATTATTATATTATAAATTTAAATTACAGACAAATATCATCTTATATCTACCGGCTGTGCAAATTATTTTCTCTAGGTTTTATCTAAGTACATCTAATTAGATGTCTAAAGCAAAATAGTGAGATAAAAATTTAAATATTTTTTTTACACTATACACATTCGAAAAAAAGCAGATGACATTTGCAATTTATATCTGAATTGCTATGAATGTTGTACATTTCCAATTTAGTGTTTGTGACTGGATCACAAATATGTAGACACTATTTTGTCTATGAACTTGAAGTTCTTTTCCGTTAAATTATGAAAGTCTGTATTACCTGTACTTGTCAATATTGACAAACAAATAACTGAATTTGCGCTGTAAATGTAAGATTAATTATAGAAAACTGTAAAATATTGATACCTTGTAGTATATATGGAAAGAACACACACATACACATATTATATTCTTGTGAAGACATAAAATGTTATCATATGTATAACTTTGCAAAATTTTTCTATAAATTCTGCTGATTTTTTTCAGAACCTCTCCTATTATTTAAAATAGTTCATTATTATTATTATTTATATATTTTAAATATGTATAAATCGTGCGTCCCTTCTATATATTTCTATTTATTAATTAAAAGAGTATCTTTGCAATAATCATTCATATAATGATCAATATGATTAATAAGTTTTCAATTCACGTAATTAAAAAAATTAATAATTTTGAATATGAAACTTTTCACATTACATCTTTATATGCAAGTTCGTAGATCGTAATAAATGCAAAATTAATTAAAGTTAAATTTACTTAGCCCTTCTGTTGGACGCCACAGATTTTCTATTAATTCTATTAATTCTTGATTCCATATTTCTAGTTAATCAAGTCGTTTCCACCACATGCAGTCAACGAACAAACGTCCATGTTAACAAAAAAAAAATGTGGTAATTTTTCGAACTTAAGAACCGTTGAAACGAGAATTAAAAACGAGAATAACAATATCGATATATTTGCAAGCAACGTTAGAAAACGATCTCTCGATTTGGAAAGTTAAACGCGTGGTCACGAGAGCGCGCTGCAGTTTGTTACAAGATGGCGGGTGAGTGAGTGCCTGTGGATCGAACGAAGCTACCCAAAAACACGAGGGATTTTCAGCTAACTCGTGGTGTTTGTGGGTTTCAGATATATCCAACATCCAGAAAGAGAACCTGGACGATTCTGACGAAGGTGAGTACTGACATGGAAATATATTTTTGACGTTCGTATGTCGTAAATGTGCGCGGAACGGAACGAGTATTCGGCACGGTGGCCCCACCATCGAAGCATGCCAGTGTCTGGTGTGCATGGCGGTGGCATGCTCGTAAACTCATATCCGTTAAATACATTCTATCTTGCATAATTTTTTGGTCCGCCGGGTTTACTAACTTCGTTATCACGCGTAACAACACGATTCGGACACCTTTGAACGGGTGTCACGTTGCAGTCTTGACTGTAACCCGTATGTCACGCCGTGATTCTCACATGCGCGACTAAGTCATGAGAGTGCTTTGATGGCGTTTTATCGGTTAGGGGGCGCCACGAAACGTGCCGCGCTGTGTTTACCTCGACCGCAGGCTGGAAAAAAAGAAAAAAACAGAAAAAGGGCACGCGGTCGCTTTCGTCTTCATGTATTGTTCCTGTTCTTTTTCACTTTTTTCACGGACCGATCGAAACATATATTCTTTTTCCCTCAATGTTTATACACCGTGAATCTCTCGATTTATAACCATGTCACTGATAGTTGACAAGTACTAATTTTTTTGTTATCTCCTTGTCTTAATGACTCATAATAGGGTTTATTTTGACATATTACACTTCGTGTATAGACATAAGGATATTCGAAACGAGTTGATTCTTTTGTATCGTATATTTGATTATGTAATGACAAGAACATTTACTTACGTACAAAGATACTACGGGACAAAAATAAAAATAAATTTTTTTTTTTAAATGATTTCCAAATTCTGATGTGATATCAGAATACGTGTAATTTCTTTTACGTCTGTGTAATGGTTTCAGAAACCGATTAGATCAAACGGAATAAAAGTATCTTGGGGGGAGGGCTGAAGTAAACAGAGTTAATGCGCGGTTATTCGCCTATCGGGGTTACTGATCTTTCGACTTCCCATGTATTTGCTAGTGCCATCTGTCGCATGTAAAACCAAACCGCATTATTAACTTTCAATAGAACTGTTCCTGTATAATTTTCAAGCATGCGATTGAAATATGTAACCGAAATATCGAAATTTGTAGCGTTTTGTAAATTCGATCATCATACCGATCTATCGACAATACACGATACCTTATGAATGAGATACGTTGACAAAGTATACGATGCGTGAATCCTTATCGGAGCCTGTTGGACCTCTGGGCCGATAAAGTCGGCGCTCTGCGTATATAGGGCATCTACTTTTCCTTCTTTTTCCTTCTCATTCCCATACATGCAATCATTCTCACCAACTGTTGCTGCTAACTCACAGTTGGTTCTAATCGACTTTATCACACATTCCAGAGGTCGTTTATCAACTTGGCTCACTTGTATTTCCAAGCGCGACTAAATAGAAAAATATTGAAGCCTGTGCCCTTCGATCCTCGAGGCAATGACCTGATCTAAGGTCGTATCGATCACGGGACCGTTACACGAATATCCTACCGATAAACTATTTTATCAATTCATGTCTTTTTTTTTTTTTTTTTTTTTTCTCGCCCCATTGATCGCTGTGGCGTTAGTCACGAATCAAAAAGATCTTAAATAATTCGCAATTCACTCGCGCCGTGATTCACATTCGGGAATCATTTAATAACGATTCATCTAAATCCTAAGAAATTAAATCGTTATTTATCGATTCAACCTCGTGCACGGTTGTTACGTGAGTAATTTCTTTGCGATTCATAACTCGTGTATCCTATTTGATAACGTGCAACGGTAGCACGTGACACACCGCTTCCTGATTCATACTTCCGACTTGAACGTTCGTTCGATCATCA